TATGCACTCAAATTCATTACATTAAAATTAGGCATATATGACATTCATTTAATTGCCTCGTATGAATTGTGGAATATTTAATTATATAAGAAAACAAGGTATCACATTAACTCAAGATAACATCACACATCTCTTATATGAGTACTTGTACAAAAATGAATCAAACATAATAATTTAAAGAAAAACATAGATCTTGATCCCGGTGTCACAATACCAGAGCCTTATTACAACCAACATACTAGCTGACTTAGTAGTTCATCAAACATAAAACATGAAAGAAAAACTAATGAAAAGTTCTTCGACACCATCCTTAATAAAAGTACCACATTATTCCTCAGTCTCGATACGAGGATATCCTGCATATAGATTTAATCATGGAGAAATAGAAACAAAGAGGTTGAGAATAGATTCTACAAATTACACGGTATTATAACAACAAAGGGGTAGCGTAGATTATAACATACAACATTTCTCAATCATACAACATCACACATGGTTACACGACATTACGTAATATGCAATGAATGTTTGTGCATGTGGTACTAGCCACTAAACTCATGGCTTATTCTGGAAGGACATGCGAGCTACCTTACGCACCACAACATTCTTCCTGAGTTTTATAGTTTAGGAAGACATGTGAGCTACAGACTGTACCAGAACACACTCTCTAGACGTCCGTAGACACTCAACTGTTTAGAAGTACATGCAAGATAAACACATAATACAACACTCTTGCTAAAATATAATCTATGAGGACATGCGAGCTACGCTTGTACACAAATTCTCTCTAGACATCCGTAGACTCCAAACTATCTAGGAGTGTATGATAGTTACGTCTGTACTGATACACGCTCTGTAGATGCAAACATACTCCCATCCTAGTATAATGCATGATGATTTGACATACGTGAATTCCTCCTGAACCTCCTTCCTCTTTTGAAACACATTTACCATGATTACCACATTAGGTTTTTCAAAAGGTTTTACCACACATTCACCTTAATTTCCACATTATGGCTTCATAATGATTTTACCAAACATTGAACTCAATTGCCACATTAGGAATTTAAAATGATTTTATCAAACATTGGGCTTATATTCTAAGGTTAACCTCACATTCATTTATTATTAATAGTATTATATATACATATAAGCATCATGAAATTTTACCACTAGATAGGTCTTTGTATTAGCTTTCTAAACTCGAGATATGGCATTTTCAATAACTCTCAGGCATGTAATCGATTGCATATTAATTACACTATTGTCTTGTTTGAGTTTTTACATCTTCTGAAGGGGTGGTAATTGATTCCACTTTTAATGTAATTGATTACGCTGATATTCTACATGATTTTTAATAGTTGATGAAGGGTGGTAATCGATTGCACCTTAAGTGTAATCGATTGGACTCATCGAAATTCCACTTTTCGCCGCAATAATCATGTATAAATCTAATCCAAACCCAAGAAACCGTCTCGACACAAAATTACAGAATAAAGCACACCAAGGTATCATTTAAACGTAACTTAAAAATAATAAATCCATATTAACACATCTTCATCAAGGTAAACATGATATTAACGTTCATACAAGTAATTTAGGTGAAACACATCAAACTATCCAAATAACGTAAACTATTGATGATTTAAGAGAGAGAGAGAGAGAGAGAGAGAGAGAGAGAGAGAGAGAGAGAGAGAGAGAGAGAGAGAGAGAGAGAGAGAGAGAGAGAGAGAGAGAGAGAGAGAGAGAGAGAGATTCATAACCTAGGATTTATGAACCATCATCTTATTGGGAAATTCCCATAGGAATTACGATGAATTCGGGGTTCAAGGAAAACCACACTATTCTAAATACTAAAATAACAATGTTATATAATAATTCATATACCTTGTCATTGCATAATTTTCTCTATGAAGCTTTCAACAATAGTGGCAACCTTTCTTTAAACAATCTCTACCGCAATCATTTTAGTGAATTAAGATTTTTCTCTTAGGTTTTTGAAGAAGAAAGGTTTCTCTAGAGAAGAAAAGAGTTGTTAGGGTTTTATTTTTATCAGAATAATACTCATCTGTGTGTGTGTGTGTGTGTGTGTGTGTGTGTGTGAGTAGATCAATCTATTTGATCGAATTGGATAAACAAATAATTGTCTTTTATCTTCCTCATTGTTATTGTTGTTTACACTTTTTAATAGGTTATTTTGTTTTATCTTCCTCCTTGTTATTGTTGTTTACAATGTTTAATATATGATTTTGTTGCTTGAAGTCATTTATTTTATTATTGTGTTTTATTTCACATATTATTATTTTCAACGAAATTAATATTATTGTCAAATTTTCAATTAAAAAAATTTGTGTGGAAGAAATTTTCAATTCACAACAATTAAACTTCAACAAATGAGATAACAACTTGAAGTTCATAGTATATTTTTACATATTTCGTCTTAAGAGAAAAACTTGAAACAAAGAGGGAAGATGAAAGGAAAAAAATGGTCCCTTATGTTTCTTTGTTACCTATATGGACAACAATATTTATTTATTTACCTTTTTTTTTATTTTAGTTTTTCCTTTGTGCATGATGTAATTTATTTAATATTCTTCATGGTCTTCTCTCTTTATTATTTGGGTCACTCTCGACTTTGTTTCTCAATTTCAATCCAACTTTTAGTTCTTGTCTCTGTCGTGATTGAATTTGATTGTTTCAGTAACTGAGGTTTGTACGATTAGTATTATCCCCTTTGTGTTTATCTTGAACAGGAGTCGGCAGGATCCTTGAAGTTTATTGCTGCAAGTCTATCTGATCAGATTTTGTGTATTCACGGAAGTTTGTGGTTCTGATTGAGGCGAATTGGAGTAATTATCAAGCTTATTCGTTATCCATCTCAGTCGAGGAGAGTTGATGCAAGTGTTCAATGTCTCTAGAAACCGTCCCTGGACAAAGGTGGCGTTTATGTCCCTGCCCCAGGTTTTATCGTGGTTTGGTTTGGACGTCTCTAGGGTTCCACTGCCTATGCTCTTATAGTGGTTAGTTCCTATGATGGGGTGCACCAATTAGGCTTCAAGTGTGTTTCTCCTAGTGGTATCCTATTTCATAAACATTCTCTATTACATATTACCGAGGATTATAATAGTATTTTTATGTACAACATTTCTTTTAGGAAAAATATTTATTTATTTAGCTTTGAAAAACCTGAAAGATACTTATCTTATGCGCCATGGGCATTGGTATGTGTTTCTTGGACAATTAATCTTAGGAAGTCTGCATCTGGTCGTCTAGCAGTCAATTTTATCTTTGAAATGATATGAGTCTTGATATATGCCTAGAGTTTTACTTATCTCTTATCTATGGGTCTTATCCACCATTTTTTAGTATGTTGCGTCTGTGTTCTCCAATCCAAAGGGTGTCCCATTGTATTGGTAGTTGACTTGCCTTGTCATGAATGTCATTTCTTTCTTATAAGGTCCAAACCTGGGTATGCGAGTGTTCCTATAGTAGAAGACCATGAAAGGTAACAACTTGTACCTCACCGAGTTGTTTATCAATTTGTTTACATTAGGTAGTGTATCAAAGTCTCCTATGAATGCTCAGTCGAGGTCAATATGATCGACACATATACAACTCCACTTCCCAAAAGTTTCTTAACTAGTAAGACATTAAAGAGTCATTATGTGTATCTTACTTCAACAATGGGATTGGTTTCTAATAATCTTTTGAACATGCTAGCGGTAGCCAAAACCTTCTCTAGAGACTTCCTTCTTCTTTGCTGCATGCATCAGTTCACCCGGTCGGATGGTAAGAGCTGATTTGACTGGTCTGCCTCATACTTAGTTGGTTGATGGATCCACCTGATCCACAGGGAGCTGATTCGGCTGGTCTGCCTACATTCGGATCTTGTCAAATTAAAGTTCAGATTGAGATTCTTAAATTTATATGTCTTATCTTTATGATAGACAAGGATCTTGAATTTGCAACAGACGTTTGTTGCTTAGAGGATTTTGAATTTGTAACAAATGATCCTCTCTCCGAACGCAGTGGCGCTAATATGCTAACTCTTTCGATTTCCCTTCCAGATAAGGTGAGATATGGTGATAACGAAGGGATCGTCTTCGTCCTATGGATTCCCTCTGGACCTTCTTAATTATTGTCATTAGAATCGATAGCCATATTGGGTAAGTATGAGGAGATGTACTTCTCCGTAAGGTTGGAGATTGAATGAGCTTTATATGCAATTTCTTTGTGGTTCGGTTTTAGACCAAACTGAGTTTGATCGTGGAATTTTTAGGGAATTCAATTTAGATTAAATCGAATTCCCATAAATGACACGATATTTCCCTATTTTAACTAGATTTGGTGTTGATTGGTGATGTAGGACCCTAGAAGAGATGATGTTTATCTCTGATAGGGTGGCGCGAAGTGGATCTACAAGGTTAACTTCGTATTGGTCCTTTGGCCGATTCAAAACAATATATAATAAATATTGTATAATATCTTTTATATTAATTTAGAGTGTCTTAGGTATCTCTTTGTATCTTATAGTTTCTCTAAATTAATATAAAATATTTTAACATTAATGAACAAATTCATGAACCGAAGCGACCGAATCTAATAACCATGAGCCGTCTAAACCAGATCCATCACCCGTCAGACCTGCCTTTATGGTTCTAACGTCTTTCTTAGACATTCTTGCTGCTTTTCAGCTTTCTAATTTCTACCAATCTCAAAACACGTTTTCTTTTCCTTCACCACTCAAAAGTTTTAAAACCTACTTTTACAATTATAAATATAATTCTCTCTCACTTGTTAGTATGAGTTGCATAAGGCGTATAAATTCTAGTAAGAAATTATATAGAAATTCGTAAGATTTAATTCTTTGATTTTGGCCACCTTTAAAATGAACAAAGGAATTTCATAAGTGATTTAAACATCTTAGATTTGTGTGATATCTATATTGAAAATTGAAGAGATTAAAAAACACTTTAGTTTTCATTTCAATCATTTGCGGTATGGCAAACCCAGAAAACCTCCCACTTTACGATAAAATATGGATCAAACGAAAATTTCAAAGATCAATAGACATCTTGATTTTACTCCTCTTATTCTCTCTCCTTTCTTTTCGTCTTTTCTCATTCATCAACAACACCTTCACAATTCCATGGTTCCTTGCTTTCTCATGCGAATCTTGGTTCACTTTCACTTGGATTGTTATTCTCAACGCTAAATGGACTCCTGCTGTTACCAAAACACACCCTAACCGTCTCCTTCAACAGTTTGTAATCTAAAACTATATCTATTTATATATCAGCATCGCAATATTTGATATTCTGATAATTTGATTGTGTAATGTTCTAACTTTTTTGTTTTTTTTGTTGTTTTTTTAATCCTAGTAGAGTACGAGAGCTTCCACGTGTGGACTTGTTTGTGACAACGGCAGATCATGTTCTAGAACCACCTCTAATCACATTGAACACTGTGTTGTCTCTTTTGGCACTTGATTATCCAGCTAATAAGCTAGCTTGTTATGTTTCTGATGATGCTTGTTCAGTTTTTACCTTCTATGCTCTTGTTGAAGCTTCTAAATTTGCAAAGTTTTGGGTACCTTTCTGTAAAAAGTATAATATTCAAGTTAGAGCACCTTTTAGATATTTTTCTCAAGTTACCAAAAGTGAAGATGGTTCATTAGAATTCAAACAAGAATGGTTACAAATGAAAGTAAGTAATGTAAAACAATATTACCCGGCTATGATCGATACATGTAATTGGATTAGTACCGTGAACCGAAAAATGGTTTTGTCTGTTGTGTTTTGTTGCAGGATATGTATGACAGTCTTAGCCGAAAAGTTGAAGATGTGACCCGAAATTCGCTGTCGTTCAAATTTGAGGGAGAATTTGCAGTGTTCTTGAATACAGAAAAAAGAAATCATTCAAGTATAGTTAAGGTAATAAATAGAGCTGTAAAAGTACTCATACTTGGACTAACTCTTTCCGAATTGTGTAAGACTAACTACTCACACTTGAATTATATCGGAATTGTAAAAGACTTATATTACGTGTTTATAGGTTATATCGGAGAATAAGGATGGTCTTTCTGATGGATTGCCTCACTTAATCTATGTATCGAGAGAGAAGAAACGGAATTATGAACACAATTACAAAGCTGGAGCTATGAATGTGTTGGTAATTTTGCTGATTAGATACTAATTCGTGTATTTTTGGTATCCAATCTCATCTTTCTTGATTTAAATTTGCAGACAAGAGTCTCTGGGTTGATGACGAATGCGCCCTTTATGTTAAACGTAGACTGTGACATGGTTGTTAGCAATCCTAAGATTGTTCAACATGCTGTGTGCATTTTGATGGATTCTAAGAATGGAAAAGATGTTGCTTTTGTTCAATGTTTCCAACAATTTTATGATGGAATAAAAGATGACCCTTTTGGAAATCAATGGGTGGCTGCATTTGAGGTTTCTTCTCAAATTCAAACGCATCTCTCACTTTGCATCTTTTATAATCTGTGTGTTCACAAACTAATTCTGTTTTGTTTAATGCAGTACATAATAAGAGGCATGGGAGGACTTCAAGGACCTTACTATGGAGGAACAAACACCTTCCATAGAAGAAATGCTATTTATGGTCTTGATCCTCATGAAAATCATTATGGAAAAAAAGGTTCTAACTTAACAATATGGTTGAGTTATTTTATATAAGGATATTGATTCCTATATGGTACTAAAAAACTCACTTATTGAATTGTATCTCTAATAGGAAAATTAGCAGAAAAGACATTAATACAGCAATTTGGAAGTTCAAATGAGTTTCTCAAATCAGTAACACATGCTTTTGAAGGGAGTGATTATTCTAGCAGTAATAGTATAAGTCCTTCCAATTTTATTGATTCAGCAATCCAAGTATCTGATTGTGGATATGAAAGTGGCACTTCTTGGGGTACTCGGGTAAGTTACATTCACATATTTTTTGCATAAAGTATTTGCAAAATTGATGTTTTGTTAATTAAGCTTTGATGATTTTGGAAACTTCAGATGGGCTGGTTATATGGATCAATATCGGAGGATGTACCAACCGGGCTGAATATGCATAGAAAAGGTTGGAGATCAGAGTGTTGTACGCCAGATCAAACCGCGTTTACAGGCTGTGCTCCCGGAGGTTTACTCACGACGATGGTCCAACAAAAGAGATGGGCATCAGGCCTCACTGTTGTCTTCTTTGGCAAGCATTCTCCTGTTATGGGCATCCTCTTTGGTAAAATCCAAATCAGGGCAGGCTTGTCTTACTGTTGGCTTACGAATTGGGGTCTGCGTTCGGTATTTGAAGTTTGTTATGCAGCCTTAGTTGCTTATTGCGTAATCACCAACACCGGTATCTTTCCTAACGGATTCGGGCTATGGATTCCTTTGACTCTTTTTGTGATCTACACTATACATACATTACAAGAGTATCGATCAAAAGGGCTATCATTACGACATTGGTGGAACAACCAAAGAATGGTTACAATGAGAACCACAAGTGTATGGTTTATAGGATTTTTGAGTGCCATGGTTAAGCTCTTAGGGATATCTGATACAGTCTTTGAAATAACACAGAAGGAAACACCGAGTTCTATTGCTTCCGGAGACATTGCAGATGCTGGTAGGTTCACATTTGATGAGTCCTCGGCTTTCGTGGTTGGCACAACCGTTTTGCTGGTGCAATTAACAGCCATTGCTGTTAAAATTTTGGGGTTACAGTTAGAGGCTAATAGCAGAAATGGGTGTGGACTAGGTGAGTTGATGGGTAGTGTGTATCTAGTAGTATGTTACTGGCCATTTCTGAAAGGGCTGTTTGCTAGAGGTAAATATGGGATTCCATTGTCTACCATTTTCAAGTCAGCACTGCTTTCATTTATTTTTGTGCACTTCTGTAGAATTGGTGTTATAAGTTGATACTATTCTTGAGATTTAATCAAGTTTTATGTACAGTTTGTTTGCATTTTCTCATAGCCTTCAGTGCGAAGTTATTGATGTAGAGGCCTTAAATTAGAATATATATGCAAGATTGCTTTGGATAAAGACATGGAGTGAAGCTTGACGTTGGGTTCATATAAAATAGTTTCACATCGACTATAACATATAATTAGTTGTAATCTCTCTATATATAACAAATCTCTCAGTATTGATTTTTGAATACACGGTTTATTCAAATGTCTTTTACTCTCTTATACTTCAATATTATCATTGTTGTTGAACGAAGCACTCAAATTCTATTCCCCTTCAATGGTATGGATAATGATCATGTTGGGTTTATGCCACTTGTTTCTTAAGAGTTTCTTCCTATTGAAGTCAAAACATTCTCACTCATTTTCCATCCAAAATTGAAAGTAACTTTGGCCATTTTTTCTTACTTCTATATTATTATCTTAAATGAACATATAAAATTAATATACCACTACAAATTATAATTTTGTCAAACATTTTTTATTCAACACAAACACATACTATTACTAGATCAATAAATTTATATAATTTTAAGATTAATGTCGTTTCTTATTTTTCTTTTGTATCATTTTAAGATTAAATGAGATGTTGGAGACGAGTTTTACAAATACGTGATTTTCGTCTAAATAGAAGTAAGACGAAATATATGGAATGTAAGTTTAGCAAAAGGAGAAGAATTTATAACTTATAGATGAAAGTTGAAGATCATATAATCTTTCAAGTCACGCGGTTTAAATATTTTTTGTTCGTAATTCAAAACAATGGAAAAATAGAAGGGGTGTAAACCATTGAATTCAAGGTAGGTGGTTGAAATGGATGGGGGTTTCAGAGATTTTATGTGCCAAAAAGATAACGCTCAAATTGAAGAGAAAGTTTTATCGTATTGCGCTAAGACATGCGATGTTGTACGAGACAAAATGTTGGGTGCTTAAACACGAGAATAAAGTAAGTGTAGCAAATATGAGGATGTTGTGTTGGATGTGTGGTAAGACTAATATGATAACAATAGAAATGACAATATTAGAGAGTGTGTTAGGGTAACACCTATAATAAAAAAAATAGTGGAGAATAAACTTCAGTAGTTTGGGCATGTAGCGAGAAGACTTGTAGAAAAGACCTGTAGATTATGGATTTTACCGATAGACCCAATAACATAATTGCTCTCATTTTAGCCAATCTTGCATATCAAAGAAATAATATGATAGAGATTGTTCGCTGGGCATGTACTAATTATTTCGCACCTTGAAGAAAACTCAAAAATACCCTTTCACAGTATCAAGATTTTGAAATTCGGATGCACCATAATACGACAAACATGTTCATCATAATCCCACTAAATGCAAGTAAAACACAAATGTCAAGTAAAAAATACCTTTTCACAGTATCAAGTTATATTGTCCTGGGGTGTGTACAAACATTGGAATCCAAATTCACCCTTTAATTATGAACGATTGTGTTATACACATGACATATTGTCCTGGGTGTGTATGGATATTAGAATATGGATTGACCCATTTGTTATGAATGATTGAGTTATACATCAAGTCATATTGTCTTGGGGTGTATATGGATATTATCCTGGGGTGTGTATGAATATTGTTCATGGAAAGTTATATACTCAAGTTTCACACTCTAATTCGCAACAACATACAACATCCTCATTATTCACCCATCCCATAATTCATCCAAATATACATCATAATTGCAACATCGCACATATCAAATAATTCGCCACATAGAGAAGAAAATGCAACACAAGAGACTAAAACACCCACCCACATGTTATTATGCAATCCCTTGGATAAGAGGAATTCTTACCCTTACCTTAGATTTTCTCTAGCAAGGATTCCTTCAAGCTCTAACAATGGTGTCATTTTAAGACTCTCGTCCCTTTCTCCAACTTTTCACTTACAATTGAAAACTGATTCTTCTCACTTCTCTCTTTTTCTAATAAACCCCTTTTTACTAGACTTTTCCACTTCTACCCTCACTTACTCCTCTAACTCCCTATTATGTCATCATTGTTCTCCCAAATGCCAATTTTACCCCTTGTTTCTCTATTCTCCTATTTTAATTAAATAAGTCACAAAAATCATTGTTTTTCTAATTATTAAATAATTCTAATAATTTTAAATTATTCTACTCATCTATTAGTACTCTCTACACCCCTCTACCTCATGTCCACACACCCCAACTATACAAAATAATTTAATTATTAATATTTATCTATCAAAGAAATCACACAAAATTTATAAGAATTCCAATAAATGATATAATCTTAATTGGGGTGTTACAACTCTCCCCCACTTAGAATATTTTCGTCTTTGAAAATTACCTGACGCGAACAACTCTGGATACGTCTCTCGCATCTCACTCTCTAACTTCCACGTCATATTCCCTCCGACAGCGTGTAACACCCCAAATTATATTAGAATATTTATTTAATTTATTTAAATAAGAATATTCGCATTTTTGGTAATTTTCAGGGGTTTGTTGTGGATTCCTGAGAATTATGGATTTTTGGAATTATTTATTTAAATAATAGTATATAATATGAATATATTAGTATTATTATTAATTTAAATAAATATAAGTTAACTAAGGCCAAATTGGACAATTGAGGAGGAGTTAGTGAGGTTAATATTGGGAAAGCTCAATTTTGAGGCTCAAGGTTAGGTTTAACAAAAAGGGAATTGTGATGGGATTAAGATTCATTTTGTTTGACCGTGAAAAGAATTGAGGCCAGAGCTCTGAGAAGGAAGAATTGAGGCAAAAACTTCGAAAGATTTTCTGAAAGATTTGAAAAGGCTTAGAGTCGACAATTAAGGTATGGGGAGTATTACCTTCATTGTTTTCAATGTGTAATTTCAATGTATTTAAGACCGATTTAAGGGTTTAAAGGTTTGAGGCTGATTATGAGATAAAAGGAATTTGACCCTCATGGCCTAAATCTATCATTGGGATTATAACCGTAGGAATTTATTTGGGTTATGGGAAATTAGGCCTTCGTGGCCAAAACTCTGATTTGACATTTGCCTAACCCCGTAGAGAAATTGGATAGTGAGGAACTCTGATGATTATGGTGTAGTGGTAGGTATTTATGGGATTTAAAGCGTGAATATGATGCGGGATTGGCCTAATAAACCATAGGTTTTGTGCCTTTATCTCCGTAAGACCTTAGGGATGGTTTAGGGATGTTTTGAGGGCATTGGGGAAGTGAATCGTGGGACTTTTGGGTTGATTTTAGGTCCTGGTGCGTAACAGTGTTTTGTTGTCATCGCGTTGTTCGCACAGCGAATGATTTCGTCCCAAACTCGCACTGCGAAGAATCCTTCGCACAGCGAAGAAACTCTCCCCAGACTCGCACAGCGAACTTGCTAGCGAACGTAGCAGAGTTTCGCGAATTCTGATTTTGTGCAGTGATGCCTTGATGTTTTGATGTTGTGATTTCTTTGACGAATTAATATTAGTATGAATGTAATTTCAATGTGATTTGTACATGATTATATGATGTTTCCTATGATGTAATGATTGATGAACTATGATGATATTTCCATGAGTTTTGATGATTCTATGATGATATGATTTTTGATGATGATGATTATGATGAATGATGATGCACATATGATGTTATTATGAGGAAGATTATTGATGTGTGCATCATGCATTCATGTGTATCCGGACTTCGGTTCAGGACCTTGATTACTTTGGCTTCAATCCCATTGTGTGGATGTGAGGTACTTTGATGTGCTCCAATTTTCGAGTAGAATCGATCCTATTGATGGGGATCTATGGAGGGTTGATGGTCCAGTGTCCATCGAGTTGTGATGATTGGTACCATATGCATTGAGTCTTGTTGCATTTGCATTTATGAGATGATTTTGAGTAAATTATGATGTTATGGCTTTTGATGTCCATTGATGAATATGATGATATTGAATATGAAAATGACGCCATTTGATATGTTGATTTCCTACATTGATTATTATGAATCATTACTCACCCTGCCTGTTTGAATGTTGCCTCCTCGTGGGTAGCGTGCAGATGACCAGACTTAGCCGTGGATGTCGTTGAGGACTTTTGAAGTTTTGAGTTGTTGGCCTTTTGGTTAACTTAGAGGGTCTTACTCTGATAGTGTGACATCGGGTTGGGATCTTGAGTTAAACCATGTTTTGTTGTGTTATTTTGATTATCTTTTCGTATAAGGAAAACTTTGGGATTATGCCTTTTGAGTTTTGATGCCTTTGTGAAATTTTTGATATCTTTTGGGAAAATCTGTTGTTTACGGATCCTTGACCTATTTTTGATTTAATTGGGAAATATATGCCCTTTGAGGTGATTTTTATTGAGTTTAATCTTTTGCTCTGATATATGTGATTATTATGCCATTTATTTGTGGGGTAGAAAAAGGTGTTACGTTAGTGGTATCAGAGCAGGTTGGTCCGTCCGGCCAAGTTCTTATGTTGTTAGTCCCCTGTTAGTCAATAATGTAGGGACACTATTGGATGAGTTGTTTTCTTCTAACCCTGTTGGTGGTTGCAGATGGCTGGAAGAAATGATCGTGATATTGCTGATGCGCTGGAATCACTTGCCCAAGTGATGGCCCAGAATGGTGGACCTCCAGATGAGTTTCGTGCTTTGGGAAAGTTCCAGAGGAACAATCCGTCGACTTTTGTGAGCACTCATGATCCTGATGGTGCACAGAAGTGGCTGAAAGTGATTGAGAAGATTTTCCAAGTCATGTCGTGTACTGATGCTCAGCAGGTGCAATTTGGTACGCATATGCTAGCAGAGGAAGCTGAGGACTAGTGGGATAACACTCGTTAGAGATTGGGAGGTGCTGGCATTGTAATAACTTGGGTTGTGTTTAAGGAAGAATATTTTAGGAAGTATTTTCCTGAAGATGTTCGGGGCAAGAAAGAGGTGGAATTCCTTGAGCTGAAATAAGG